GAGAAAGATTAATGAATAACATTTAGCAAAACCCAGACACTGAGTTTTAAGTTCATGTTCATATAATATGAATTATTCTAGATTAAATCTAATAAATTATTTTCATTATTTTGAGAATGTGGCGTTTCAATTTTTTCATCCTTAACTCAAGTATTATAGAGTTAGACATTTTATAAAAAAACATTTGAAATATTCAACAATGAAAAGTGTAATTTAATCCTTTTTACTTATAAGTTTAAATACTGTAAATGGAACGTGCAAAGAACGTTTATTTGTTTGTTTGTTTGTTTTTTTTTTTTCACCTTAAAGACAATTGAATGCAAAATGCACTCACCCAAGTAATGAATCATTCTTGCTATATTATTTGAACGTCATGGTATTTCCAAGATATATCACATATTTCATCTTAAAGACAATTGAATGCAAAATGCACTCACCCAAGTAATGAATCATTCTTGCTATATTATTTGAACGTCATGGTATTTCCAAGATATATCACATATTTCATCTTAAAGACAATTGAATGCAAAATGCACTCACCCAAGTAATGAATCATTCTTGCTATATTATTTGAACGTCATGGTATTTCCAAGATATATCACATATTTCATCTTAAAGACAATTGAATGCAAAATGCACTCACCCAAGTAATGAATCATTCTTGCTATATTATTTGAACGTCATGGTATTTCCAAGATATATCACATATTTCATCTTAAAGACAATTGAATGCAAAATGCACTCACCCAAGTAATGAATCATTCTTGCTATATTATTTGAACGTCATGGTATTTCCAAGATATATCACATATTTCATCTTAAAGACAATTGAATGCAAAATGCACTCACCCAAGTAATGAATCATTCTTGCTATATTATTTGAACGTCATGGTATTTCCAAGATATATCACATATTTCATCTTAAAGACAATTGAATGCAAAATGCACTCACCCAAGTAATGAATCATTCTTGCTATATTATTTGAACGTCATGGTATTTCCAAGATATATCACATATTTCATCTTAAAGACAATTGAATGCAAAATGCACTCACCCAAGTAATGAATCATTCTTGCTATATTATTTGAACGTCATGGTATTTCCAAGATATATCACATATTTCATCTTAAAGACAATTGAATGCAAAATGCACTCACCCAAGTAATGAATCATTCTTGCTATATTACAGGGATTTTTGACAACCATAGAGATCTTATTAATGTGTGTGATATACCATAGAAAGAAACAGAAAAAAAGCTTAAAAACATTGTCTTTGAGTATGTACTTTACATAGGGCTACTTCAAAAACGTGATTTCACAACGTCCTCAGCACCACCATGGCTGGGGCTGAGGTGAGAAAATTTGAGGAAATAGTACCTCTCGAGAGATGGCCGGAAATGAGAATTTTATATAGTAAAATTCATCATCATCACATTACCATTATAGTCAAAATGAAACGCCAACAAATTTCTCATGATCTTTAATCAGGGATTTACTTAATATCCAGGACAACTTAGGCCTAATTATAGCTTACTAAGCTTTAACTATATATACTATATTATGATCAACAAATCACAACTTTTTTTTCGCATTTAGCACAATTTTCTTCACTTTTTATTGTTATTAATATTAATATCAATTATTACTATTGTTATCATCATCATTGTTATTATTATTATTACTAGTAGTAGTAGTATTATTAAACAAACATTTAAAGAAACTTGCAAAAGGATAAAAACGAAATTGAACCACAGTATCGCATTTCTATCTTAAAAGACCTGGCCTGAGATTTATGGATTTAAGATTTTTTTTAAATCACGCTTAGGCCTATGTGTTCTATTATGCCTATGTATAACGTGTACTGATGCATATTTACATGTTTAGAAGTATTCATTTTGAGTGATCTCAGGAAAGAATTTGTATTGGCTCAAGAAGAAGCTTTAAAATTTTAACACTGTGTACAAAAGGGGGGGGGAGGAGCCCCACGGCTCCCCCCCCCCTGGATACGTCCCTGGAGAATACTAAGGCAAATGACGCATTTGGACTTGCTTAAGTGTGTGATAATGTTGTCCTCGGTTTAATTACACTAAAAAGGTAGGCCTATTTTCTGTTTTTAAAAAGCACTTATTAGGAAAATAGGTGAAACCTACTGTGGCGAATCCCGATTCCGAGGAGGGCGCCGCTCTGGAAAAAATCTACTAGGCCTAACCAAATAACATTACTAAGGGTCACGTCTGACAACTCCCTCCCCACTCGCAGTCAGTAACACTATTAAATTATATATAAATCATCAAAGAAAGATAAAAACAGAGAACAAATGTAGGACATGATGGTACATCGTATATAACAAAGCTGTCAACAAATGTCCTATAAATAAATAAATAATAAACAAACAAACAAACAAACAAATAAATAATGATACCTCCGACGGGATTTGACTATATAATGTAACAGTGTTAACGGCTATATATATATATATGATTTAACATCATTTCTATTGTCGTAACAATAGATACTCTAATAATTAACTATTTATTTAAGGTCACACGTTTTATCCTTTAAACATCACATGGCTTCAGTTGATGGTTTAATAGTTTCGATAAGCATGAATAACCGTTTACCCAAGTTTCCTGTATAACCCTCTAAACCTAAATGCTCGTGTATTGACATAAGAGTGAGGTGATGAAATATGTGATATATCTTGGAAATACCATGACATTCAAATAATATAGCAAGAATGATTCATTACTTGGGTGAGTGCATTTTGCATTCAATTGTCTTTAAGATGAAATATGTGATATATCTTGGAAATACCATGACGTTCAAATAATATAGCAAGAATGATTCATTACTTGGGTGAGTGCATTTTGCATTCAATTGTCTTCAAGATGAAAAAAAAAACAAAACAAAACAAAACCAAACAAACGTTCTTTGCACGTTTCGTTTCCATTTACAGTATCAGAATAGCCGTTAACACTGTTAACTTATATATAAATCATCAAAGAAAGGTAAATACAGAGTTCACATGTAAGACATGATGGCACATCGTATAGCAGTTGTTCACTCCCTTTATATAGTAACTTACTCGCGCGAATAAGCGCCCGGGCGCTAAAAATATTTTTTTGCACTTTCTGAGGGGCGCTTATTCAAACGGGGCCTTATGAAAACAGAGTTGAAATTGAGGGGGCGCTTATGGAAATAAATGGAAATCGAAGGGTTTTTATGGGAAATTATTAAATTCAAGAGGCACTTTTTAAATGAAAAAAGATTACCGTATATAAGGACATTATGAATGGTGGTTAGGCGGAAAGGATAATCGTCCAGAGAACATGGCTCATGACAAGATTAATGCATGAATATTTACATAACAGCAAAATAGTAGATGCAATCAGTAGTGGTGGTTAGTGGTTAGCTTGTTGGTCATCGGCCGACTGAGATTAGCTGGATGGCAGGACCATTGTATTTTTTCTTCAAAACTCATGAGAATGTGCTAAAGGTCGGAAAAAGAAAAAGAGGAGTAGGACTAGGCATAGACAAATATGTAAAAAGAGTAAAGTTGAAAATATATTATCTGTCTAGGGATCAGAGCTCGCATCTGTCCAAGAGAAATATCCTCATTTTGATATTGACCTAAGAAGAATGTGTTTCCACTCTGCAGCTCAAATCATGCCAGCAACCACAATCCCAGGATTGATTGGATTATTGACTTGCTAAATAGAAAATCTTATGATTAAGGGGCGCTTATTCAAATAAGGCGCTTATGGAAATTTTCACGTTAGGAGGGGCGGTTATTCGAAAGGGGTGCTTATTCAAACGGGGCGCTTAATCGCGCGAGTACGGTATCTGTCTCTTATACACATCTAGATGTGTATAAGAGACAGATTAGTAGTAGTATTATTAAACAAACATGATCTTTTATCAGGGATTTTTGACAACCATAGAGATCTTATTAATGTGTGTGATATACCAATTGGATTATTGACTTGCTAAAAAGAAAATCTTATGATTAAGGGCGCTTATTCAAATAAGGCGCTTATGGAAATGTTCACGTTAGGAGGGGCGGTTATTCGAAAGGGGTGCTTATTCAAACGGGGCGCTTAATCGCGCGAGTACGGTATTTTGCATGTTAGCAATCGTTTTACTTAAGATGGCGAAGGATTTGACGAAACATGTCTGTTTTATATCGAGTTTTGATAATAAAATTAATTAGGCCATGACGCCACTGCGATTTAAAAAAAATACAAAATCGTGCTCTATCGTAGCAAAATCGTGAATGTGTGAAAGGTGGGTTGGATTGGATTGGATTTATTCTGTGTAAACACCATGCTTACGAATGTCTAAAAGAAGACTTATTTCCAGTGGGGTCATGCTGGTGGTGATTGGGCAGTACACCGTGAGACAATCCCCTACTCCTTTCCGAAGAGTGTACTGCGTTCTTTAACGTGCATATGGGTCAATAATGCACACGGTACCAACGTCTCATCCGAAAAACGGTGCGCTATATTGTAACTTGTATTTCAGCCCTCCAACTCCACGGTTCAGCGCACACACAATGGCTACAACCAGAAAAGCCGACTGTGCTAAGCTGTTACGGGATGAGTGGCTTACTAGAGGTATAAAATCTAGAGGTCCAAAACATTATTTTGCACCTCAGCGCCAACCTTAGTGGTGTTTATGTGGTCCTTCAGCACTCCTTCCTTAAATCCTGGATACCCTACTGTTTGTTTTAAAATGAAATTTCTTTTAACTTTAAAGCATAATATTTAATTCTGGCCTGGTGGGCTATTTGGCTTGTTATTCTGTAATTACTAAGGATTATATATTCTTGTTTGAATTCAACAAAAGGCTTAAAAAAAGCCTGGCTGAACTAAAGACAGAACAATGGCTTATATTTCATTAGCCCCTTTCTTCAATGATTTGCCTATCAACACCTCGCTGGATTAGTAATTCAAACATAAGTATAAGATTGAGACAAATTTAATACTTATGTGAATCATCACCTGAAAAATTCTCATCTTCAACCCTAAACTGTTGTTAGTCAAGGAACTTTTGAGAGTATCCCCTAGGTCAACTTGTAATAGGCGTAGTTACACAATATTTGAAAACTCGTAATTTTTTAGCAGTCGCCATTTCCAAGTCTACTGGTCAGGAGAAATAATTTGCCGGGTAGAACATGGACTTGCTAATTTCACTGGTGATAACTTTAAACATATACGTACAGACAGCAGCCACAGACACGACGCCTCGAGTAAGTTTTTAATACTCCCCGATTATTATCCAGATTTGTAATTAGGCAGTTTAGTTATGTAATTTCCTTGATGTTGTGACAGAACGACTAATCTCTACCTACCTCCGGCATGTGGGCAAACTTAAGGCCGACATTGCTCTGGATTCTTTCTATGACAAATGAGATAGTGAAGAACTATTTTACATCTGAAATAAGCGACCTAATCCCAGAACATTGTAATTTACAAGAAAATGTCAGAATTAATAGAGATATTTATCACCCAATTTAAGTGAAATTAGGAAATCCGATTAGAGCCTGCAGTGGTTCTGCTAATAAGAGTTTTAGTTTGGACCATCCTAAGCTGTACCTACTGTGGCATATCTAGGTGTACTTAAGTGGACGGTTTAGGGTGCAGGGTTTCCGAAATGTGCTAATATTACGAAAAATCCATAAATTATGGCTTGTGGCAAGTCTAGGTGCAGGGCAGTGAGGAGAAGGTTTATTATGAAGAGTGCAGCTTGGCAAATAAGGTGGCCCTAGTCACTGGCGGCGACATCGGGTGATCGAGGTGCACAAGTAGGCTTACTCATCGAGAAAAGCTTGACCCATGGACGTAGCCAGGATTTTGAAAGGGCTCCGATGAGGGTCCAGGGGCGAAGAGACCTAGTAGAGTAGAGGGCCGAAGCCTCCTGGAAGGTAGCGCATTCTGAACGTGTTAGGACTGTTTTGAGGGACTGTGAACAAACATTTTACATTTAAAGTGAAAATTGCAATAGACCCATCATGAATAATATTAGTACTAGACCTAATCATAATAATAACTCAAAACTTTCTTTATTCAAAATAGTCATAATCACGAAGAATATTCTTAATCAATTCAGATAAAATTCTGAAAACAAGTTTATGCACCCTCCCTTCAACAGTCACTAAACATACTCTAAGTGAGGTGCCGACTGGATGGGGTTTAATGTCATACACAGGCCTAACTAAAGCTTAATATAATAATTATAATGATTGGACATTTGAACATTATTTTTCGCCTTTAGCATAATTTTCTTCACTTTTTAATGGTATTAATATTATTATCTATTATCACCATCATTATCACCTTCATCATCGTCATCGTTATTATTATTATTATTATTATTATTATTATTATTATTATTATTATTATTATTATTATTATTATTATTATTATTATTATTTAATGAGGTAAAATGTGTAAATATTAATTTTTTTAGAGAAATCTGCAATGTAGATGTACAGACATCTTAAAGATTGGGGCTCAGGTAGAGGGAAATTCTAAATGTTGCCTACTTCCTCCTTTTCAATATGATGACCTGTACTTGACATCTTTAATCTTAGCTTACAGATGGTTTTACATTAAGCTAAAATAGAATGAGCTACATATTTAAATAAGCCATAAGACACAAAAACAATGCCCAAGAGATCTTAATAATAGTTGTAATTCAAGAGTTCATAAACTGCAATTGGAGCTATTAAAACTATTAAGTTCAAGATTGTGCTTCCTTATTTTCAAAAGCAATTTTGTTTAAACAACCTGTCTAGGGTCATCAGATGCTTAAAGCATCTGTTGTTTTGGGTTTTTTTTGCTCTCCGTAACTCGCACGTCCTCAAAAACTATTGGTCATAAATTATTTCCTTTTGCAGCACTTTAGAATTCACTCCCTACACACATCTGTCTCTTATACACATCTAGATGTGTATAAGAGACAGAATCGTATTAAGCATAAGTTTTGGCCAGCGGTTCATTTCCATACATATAATATTATCTATATACTTTGCTTTAAGGATATCTTGTGTAATTTTAATTGGTTGCCAACCGAGGTCGCCGTAAAGTGCTTCTTTTGCAGTACTTCGACTCGCTTTTATTTGGTCCGCGCCATTTGTAATTGAAGAGACTCTACTTTCTCTAAATCTTTAGTATTTGTATTAACACATACAGCACACGCATAATTAATTGTGGGAAGGCCTATACATTTCCAAAGAACATCACCATAATACACGCGGTTAAAATCATCAAGCGTGTTCTATAATGGATTTAATATATGTGTCACATTAGAACTTATATTTTTCCCTACCATATGCGTGTTGCCCTAATATTTAAATAATATGCTAATCCACTTAGTCAATAACAAGTTGTTAGTCATTGACAAAAAGGTGATTGTATTGTTACTAAATTTGCATAAAGCGTAAATCCGTTGCCAGCCGGTCATATAAAATGACTAGCGCGAGATTTCGAATTACTCTCAAATTTTGAGGTTCATGAGACGAGCAGTTTTATTGTAAGCTTATCATGGGGCGCAGTGTGCATTGGACGCACGATACTGTATAAGCCTGGCCTTTGTGAATTTATACACAGTTGGTAGAACCGTGATAAAGTATTTTTTGTTCAGTTATAAACCGACGGAATGGGGCGAGTTAGGATAGAAACTCCGACAAGGCTCGCAGCTGAACGTGGTGGAGCTCGTCTATGTTAACCAACAGTACGGTAGTGGACATTGTGAGTATTTAAACAGTAATTGAAAGTATTGCTATGCTTACGGATGTTTAAAGTTGATTATAATATAAATATCAGTAAATGTGAATGTTGATATATAGGTACAATATGTAACATGTGTATTATGTGAGTATAATTGTATGTATATACATATGTATACAGATATATATGTGTGTATTTATACACATATAATATATGTATACATATGACGTGTGTTTATATGCATATATGCTGCATGTGCATATAGGCCTATATAACGTGATTGTTTATAAGACATACTCATTTTATGCATGTTTGCTTTAATACAGTGTCACTTAACTTTCAACCTAATATTTGGAAGCTACTGTGCTATTGTATGGAATTTTTCAAGTAGAAACTAATGATGAAGCGTAGAGTATCGTAATCAGTTATACCTATCAAGAATGATGGTGGATATTCAACGCATTATCAAGACAGACGTGTTTAAGCGGGAACATTGATTAAATAGAGACGTAGTATTCGTCATTACTATTTACTCCAATAATGTTATAATATATTAATTAAACTGGTAGTTATTTGCTATGGCTATACACGAAGATAATCTTTAAGATTTGGATAGCCAATATTTCATTATAAATTAATTAGTGCTAAGTAATGTTATGATTAAAAGCATTGGTTGCGAATTTGATATTTAATATTTAATGTTTTCTATGTTTGTATTGTTTGTATTGTGTTGTTTATTGTTTAAAAAGACCTATTATTTTAGAAATAAAGATTTACTTATTTGTTAATTTAAAAGTTTGTAATTCTTTTTGTTGTGTACATTGTTGGACAGACATTAGACCTTCGATCCAAATTCATCGTCTATGACATTCATATTATATATGAATTTTCGTAGGTGACAATATGCGATAATTCTATTTCCATTTGCAATAACTTGATGTATATGGAAGTTGTCCTTTATATTCCTCGCAATGTGGGTACCTAAATATTTATAAGTTTCAACTTCAGTTATAAAATCCCCTCCTAATTTTCAACGTTTGGTACTATTCAGCCGCTGACCGACAACTAGAACATTTGACTTTTCATTATTGAACTTAAATTTCCATTTGTTTTGTTAGCGAAATGCGACGCCAATTCCAACATCTTAATAAGTTCATTTTCACCGTCAGCTAATAAAACCACATCATCTGCCCAGAAAAGGCTGTTCATACAAACACCATGTATGTGTACACCTAATGAATGTTCTTTCAATAATTTTGTGAATTCATGCATTATTATACAAAATAAAGTTGGTGAAAGCACGCAACCTTGTTTCACTCCTTCCTCAATATCGAAAAAATCTGTTTTAATATCACCGAATCTTATTTGCCCTTTAACATCATCATATAAACTACTTATAATCTTCCATAACCTGCCCCGAATCCAAATATTTCATACTGCCATTAACAGGCCGTCACGCCAAACGCAATCAAAGGCCTTCTTTATGTCTAAAAAGGCCAAGAAGGTCTTTTTACCTTCTGCAAGACAGCAGCTAGCCATGCTCTTAAGAGTGAAAATATGGTCTTCGCAGCGGCGATAAGGCTTAAAGCCCCCCTGTACTTCTGCAAGCATGTTCTTTTCTAAGATTTCAGAGACACTGTATAATACGATTCTGTTGAATTTTTGAAACGCAGGAAGTTAGAGAAATCCCTCTATAATTGTTTAAGTCCTTTCGATCGCCCTTTTTATAAATTGGGACAACAATGCTTCGGTTCCATTCAGCTGGAATTTTTTCAAGACTCACAATTCTTTTAAATATGAAAATATTGAATAATTCAGATATTTACCACCATTTTTTAGGAGCTCGTTCGAAATATTATCTAAGCCTGTGGATTTGTTATTTTTGGATTGAAGAATAGCAGTTTCGACCAGATTTAATGCAAGTTCAATATCAACAATGGAGTTAGTGTTATCATCAGAAGCTTGCAAAAAATTGTTATCTTCTTTAAGTTCATTAACAAAATTTGAAGTTTCGATAGAATGTTTATCGTGTTCATCATTCGTATTTCTGTTCATTTTACCTAATGTTCGCCAATAATTTAGAACAGTCTGGTTCATTTCCTCTATATCGCAAGTAATTTCATTTGTGCCCGGCACTTTTAAGCACTGTATTTGCTCATTTTTCGCTCGCCCCCCGTTAATTCCTTCCAAAAGTCACGGCAATTACGACCACCTTTGTTGGCACAATCAACTGACCTTTTAACCCGCATTTCGGTCATTTTATTTCTAACTAATATTTTTACACAATTTCTCTTATCTTGATAATTTTTCAATAAGTTATCCCCCTCACTTATGCTGCTACCCTTATCCTTCACCCACTTTCTATGTAAACGGGCTGCTTCCCTTCTCTGTTTGATGGCATTGTCAACTTCATCATCAAACCATGGATTACATTTATTACCACGTTTTTGTTTCCTAACGCCTATCCCTTCAGTTGCAGCTTTAATTAAATTGCTTTTCCATGAATCCCAAAGCATATTTACATCCGAAAAAGATTCGGATTTTTTCCTGAAATGGTTTATAATCCTGATCCTGTTTGATGGACCAACATAGTTTAGTACTTTTCCCATAATCGGCACGATTACTACTAAAAGGAATAGACAAATTCAATAACAATACGTTATGGTCGCTGCCCAGACCCATATATCTATTTTCATCAACTATGAATCCTTTTACAGACTCAAGTAAATTGTCAGAACAGAGCATATAATCAATGGTACTTTGCAAGTTGTTTCTATACCAAGTAAATTTCCCTACACAATGCCGAGTACAATTTAAGATGTTCAAGCATGCGTCATCCCGAAAATTCAGAAGACGTTCTCCATTAGAGTTTAGTATCGGATCTCCTTACGGGATTTCCCCACCAATTCTGGCATTCATATAAGACATTATTAAAATCTGAGGACCATTTTCTCTATGTTCATTTTCAATACAAATTATATCGGCGAGTAACTGGTTATACAATTTGGTACATGAATCATTATCAGCACCCTCCACAGGGAAATATGCAACAGCTATATACATTTCGTTATTACCACCATAAATGCTGAACCAGAACCTCTCATGGACATCGTCTAGTGAGTTCAAAACATTACCGTCAATAATATTAACATCATTTGAAATTAAAGCACAGATCCTACCCCCTCCCTTTGAAATTCTATTTTTACCAATCCATTTGAACCCCTTAACATCATTAATTAATTCTCCCTTCAGAAATGTTTCTGCAACCCCAAAGATATGTATATTTTGAGTAGTCATTAACTTAACAATTTCTTGAATTTTAGACTGTAACCTATTAACATTGTTGAATGGAATATTTAAAGAGTAATTATTATGACTATTACTTCTTTTACCAACCTTCCTCTTCTGTCTATTCCCATGACCTCGTCTATGGCGCTTTTTTCCCCTTCGTTGGTTAATATTACTTATCGCTGGCCCATGAGAATGTGTTACAGTTATTTCTGAATTCTGATTGGGGACGTCAATTTATGAATAAACTATATCTTTCATTTCATCTCGTAATAAAGTAAAGACATTGCTAGTGTTCACAATGCTGTTGCCGTTGTCCTATGTACTGCGTATGTTTGAGTGTGGATCAATTCTCCCACTTTGTTGATGATCTTCGGCGCGACAAAGGTAAGCTTTATGTCCATATTTACGACATACGTTACATCGAACAGGTTGATTATGATAACAGTCCCTTGTTGCATGTTAATCAAGGAACTTTTGAGAGTATCCCTAGGTCAACTTGTAATAGGCGTAGTTACACAATATTTGAAAACTCGTAATTTTTTAGCAGTCGCCATTTCCAAGTCTACTGGTCAGGAGAAATAATTTGCCGGGTAGAGCATGGACTTGCTAATTTCACTGGTGATAACTTTAAACATATACGTACAGACAGTAGCCACAGACACGACGCCTCGAGTAAGTTTTTAATACTCCCCGATTATTATCCAGATTTACAATGATTAATCATGGTTTAATTAGGCAGTTTAGTTATAATTTTCTTGATGTTATGACAGAACGACTAATCTCCTATCTACCTCCGGCCTGTGGGCAAACTTAAGGCCGACATTGCTCTGGATTATTTCTGACAAATGAGATAGTGAAGAACTATTTTACATCTGAAATAAGCGACTTAATCCCAGAACATTGTAATTTACAAGAAAATGTCAGAATTAATAGAGATATTTATCACCCAATTTAAGTGAAATTAGGAAATCCGATTAGAGCCTGCAGTGGTTCTGCTAATAATAGTTGTAGTTTGGACCACCCTAAACTGTATCTACTGTGGCATATCTAGGTGTACCTAAATGGTTTAGGGTGCAGGGTTTCCGAAATGTACTAATATTACGAAAAATCCATAAATTATGACTTGTGGCAAGACTAGGTGCAGGGCAGTGGGGAGAAGGTTTATTATGAAGAGCGCAGCTTGGCAAATAAGGTGGCCCTAGTCACTGGCGGCGACATCGGGTGATCGAGGTGCACAAGTAGGCTTACTCATCGAGAAAAGCTGGACCCATGGACGTAGCAAGGGGTCCAGGGGCGAAGAGACCTAGTGGGGTAGAGGGCCGAAGCCTCCTGGAAGGTAGCGCATTCTGAACGTGTTGGGACCGTTTTGAGGGACTGTGGACAAACATTTTACATTTAAAGTGAAAATTGCAATAGACCCATCATAAATATTATTAGTACTAGACCTAACAATAATCATAATAATAACTCTAAACTTTCTTTATTCAAAATAGTCATAATCACGAAGAATATGCTTAATTAATTCGGATAACATCCTGAAAACAAGTTTATGCACCCTCCCTTCAACAGTCACTAGACATACTCTAAGTGAGGTGCCGACTGGATGGGGTTTAATGTCATACACAGGCCTAACTATAGCTTAATATAATAATTATTGGACATTTGAACATTATTTTTCGCCTTTAGCATAATTTTCTTCACTTTTTAATGGTATTAATATTATTATCTATTATCACCATCATTATCACCTTCATCATCGTCATCGTTATTATTATTATTATTATTATTATTATTATTATTATTATTATTATTATTATTATTACTATTATTATTATTATTATTATTACTATTACTAGTAGAGTAGTAGTATTAGTATTAAACAAAACTTAAAAGCTTGCAAAAGGTTAAAATCCAAACAATTATACAATATAACATTTCTGTATGTTGAAAAACCTCCGGGCCTGGGATTTATAGATTTAAGTTGTTTTTTATTTTTCTTTGTAATGTAAGTTTGATAAATCGACCACTCCCTGAGCGGTACCGTTATAAACCCGAAAATGTTATTTGTTGCATTATCGTCCATAGTGAAAATTAATTACTGTATTCTAAAATATTCCCGGCTGGGTTACTATCAGCGTAGTGGGAGAATTTTTATTGATAACCGTTTATGATGGGTTTCTATCAGAGCACGGGTCACAAACTTATAGTAGAAGGAGTTAATTAGAATTGTACACAAAGCCTATTTAAACCAACACACATTGAGGATTGTCGACTAATATACACACAGGTTACTTTGCGTTGTGCCACAAACTCTGTGTTGTTGTTTAATTTGTAATAGCATAAAAGTGACACATCGCCCTCGCAGTTGACTATTTGTAGGCCTATTTGTAATTTTCTTGAAAATTTAACGCTTATAATTATAGTATTATGTATAACGTGTGCTGACGCATATTTACATATTTTGTGAAGTATTTATTTTGAGTGATCCCCGGAAAGAATTTGTATTGGCTAGCAATAACACGCTTTAAAATACTCTGTAAACAAAGTGGGGAGAGGAGCCGCGGCTCCTCTTCCCCTGGATACGTCCCTGCCTTGATCCATATAAAAAAAATGCAAATCCTTTCGTTGGGAAACAATGTTTTAAAAATACATTTTACAGTCCGAATGCCACTTTCAGGCAGACGGGGCTGTAAATGTGCTTACCGACAAGCACCCCTTTTATACCAAACAAATTGCGGTAATTATATTGCCGTAATATAACGCCTTTCTATGGCAAGCCATTCGTAATATACCGTATAAAAAGAATGCAAGTAGGCCTATGCAAGTATATTTATGATATAATGTAGACTTAACATTGGCAAAATCTTAAATCTGTAAAATTCACCATTATTCTAACAGTATTCTAACTACTACAAATATGGCAAGTGGTGGATCCGAGTCGGGCTCGGCCTAGCCAAATTTAAAGAGAGTCGGACATCTGGGAGAATTATGAATTCTAAACCACCCCGTTTGATACTTGTACACTGCAACTCCCTCATTTTTTCAAAACAAGGTATATCACATACCAAGAAAATCTAAAAGATGCCGATATTATATGAGATGTGGAAATGGGTGGGTGATTTGTTAAAATCAAGGTACAAAATTATGTCAGGAGCCCTCAACTCCCCCGTACCCCCTGTACCTAAAAGAAATTTAAAACTTCCAAATTGGCACTTGACACAAGCTTGAAAAGGTTGAATACCCAGTGTTTGAAGTTTATATTTCGGTATAGACTGAGTCGATGGTGTTGGCACAGACTCCACAAGTTTATTACTCTAAATCCTAACATTACTACCTAATGACCTGGTTCCCCCATACCCCAAAATTTATTTGAAGTTTTATTGAAATCTAAACCTTTTGCAGGGCAAGTCCAAGGTACTTATCGTTCTTTCAGACGGGATGAGATGGGATCATTATGGACTCAGTCTGCCGAATTTTGAAAATATTCAAAAAACTGGAGTTAAAGCTGATTGGATGGACGGCGCATTTGTAACCCTCTCCACGGCGAGTATGACAACTATATCTACAGGTGTT